ATGTCAAATGAAGTGGGTTGTGTAGTACAAATTACATGCAAATGCAAGCAAGAAGATACACGTGGTCCGACACATCCTCCTCATCACTCCAAATCCCGACACCCATTCAAGCATCTACGGATCTCATGGCTCCAAAGATTTGCAAAGACCACGCCAACAGTGTCGTCGATGCCACCGGCGAGATTTAGGCATGGAGAGACATTGTTCTTGCAGATATGCACACGATACTTATTGCATCGGCCATCGTCGTAAGAAATTCATGATTGCACACCTGAAATATAATGGATCATATAAAAGAGCATGCATGAGCTATGGACTCGATTGCATAGAAACAAACAGGCATAGGTGTTTCCAATTCAACTACAAACAGATCTCTAAAAATTCATCGTTCCACAGACATACCTCGTTGGGTGACCTAGGCCTTTTGATTGGAAGATCACATCCTCCGCTCACGCAAGCATTGCGACGACCATCGATTCCGATTCCGGCGATTCAGCAGCGATTCAGCGGCAAAGAATGAAGCCGTCTCTCCCTCTCGGGGAGAGGCATGGAGAGACTCCGTTCACGCAGTTCACGCAGTCAGGGGCCAAGCACCTTTCGGCGCTCTTCTTCAGAGCCATGGATTTTCCCGTCTTCATCTTCTTCTTAGCCGATGATTTTCCTGGATTCATCTCTAGACGGCGTGGATGTGGCCGGCGACGCGGTGAAGGCGGAGATCAGCGGCGGCAACACGTCGAGCTCTGGCCGCCGGCGGGCTAGGGCTAGGGCTAAGGCTACGGCTCCGAGCGGCCCCTTTAGGGTTCTAAGGTGGCGGCGCGGTGCTCTGGGCATACTGTTTATAGGGGCGGGCGCGGGGAACCTCAGGGGCCACGATCGAGGGGATCGGGCGCCGGTGGCTACGCCCGGTTGATGCGGCACGGCGGGGCACGTTCGATGGAGGGGAGGGGTAGTGGGCTTTGGCCCAGAGGCATATCGCCGGGAGTTGGGGAGAAGTTGCCGCTCTGTGTCCGTCTCCAGGGAAGGAGGCGACACTGTGCGTGGAGCCGCTGACACACGGGCCCTGCAGTCGGCAATGGCAGTGGGCGCGGCACAGGCGTGGGCGTCCGAGTTCATCATTGGGGAGGCGGCGGCGGCACACTGGCAGGGGAAGGGGACGCAGCTTGACGGGCGGGCGGCGAGGACCAGCGGTGGCGGCAAAGACAGCAGAGGAGGAGGACGACAGGAGGGCCTCCGCGATGGCGGCAGCCTAGGCCTGGCAACCAGCGGGCGTGGGATCTAGGAAGTACATCTAGGGGGGGCGGTGGACGCAGGGAGGGAGAAGATCGGTCGCGCCGGCGATGGCGGATCAGACGAGGGCGTCTAGCTCGGTCAACTGAGGAACGGGAGTTTGGACAAGGTAATGACCACCCGCCCCACGTGGCAAAGGAAAGAAGAGAGGAGGGCTGCGGTTGGTTTGTTTGGCGGGTAGTGGGTCAGGCCTGTAACGAAAATAGAGGGGAGTGCGAGAGCGGTGGAGAAGGAAGTCGACTACATGCCCGGTTTAGTCCCACCTCGCTTGCATATCAATCAAAAGCACAGACTTAAAAAGCGCAGAGCAAACTAGCCATTTCAACTCCTGTACTACACCGCCTATGCTCTTCAACATTTGTTACACAGTGCTAATTGGGCCGCCAGGCTGGTTGGGCTCCCTTGGAGGTTGAGCCTGCCTAGCCGCTTCTTGGCCCTTAGCACCAATTTTTTTTCAAACCATCCATTTTGCAATTGAAGTCCCTCTTGAAAACCTTTTTTCAAACCATTTATTTTGTAATTGATTTTTTTGTATCTTCGAAGATTGATTTGTAATATAAAGCCGACCTTAAAATAAAAAAACTCGGATTCACACATAAAAACACACGTGGATAGAGTGATCGGTTCAACCTATAAGTGCACTCGGATGACACATAAGAGTGATCGGTTCACTTCCTATCATGTTAGGTTAACGGTCTATCGGTTCACCGATCAAACGAAAGCCGCGAGAATGTAGGTTATGTACTTGTCGTCCCCACGAGCACTAGTCTAGCTACTCGGAGGAGACATGAGAGTGATCGGTTGACTTTGTTATCGTGCTATTAGCATGTTAGTCCACTCGGACGACACGTGATAGTGACGGATTAGTTTGTATCATGTTAAGGCTAGTGGTTCACTCTCTGTCGAGACATGAGAGTGATTGATTCACTTCCATTCACTTTAGGCCTTTTACTCCACTCGACCAAGACGTGCAAACTAACTTTTAGACAAGACATGAGAGTGATCTAATGGACTTAATTTATTACCATGGTTTATGATTATTACTCCACTCAGACAAGACATGAGAACCATCGGTTCACTTTGTATCATGTTAGGCCTATTAGTACATGTCGGAGTGATCGATTCACTTTCGTTCATGTTAGGCCCATCACCCAATCGATCGATGAGAGGCACGAGTGTAGGTTGAGTTCTTTGTCATGGTAGGACTACGACTACACTCTCGGCGATAAGAAATCCATCGAGATCACTCTCATGTCTTGTCCGGAGTGTAGTCATAGTCCTACCACGACAAACAACTCAACCTACACTCTCGTGTGCCTCATCTCGATCGGTGGACCGATAGGCCCTAACATGAACGAAAGTGAATCGATCACTCCGACATGTACTAATAGGCCTAACATGATACAAAGTGAACCGATGGTTCTCATGTCTTGTCTGAGTGGAGTAATAATCGTAAACCATGGTAATAAATTAAGTTCAACCGAGCACTCTAACCACATGTTACCAAGTGAACCGTATGAGTGCGTATTTCACGTGTTAGTAAAAAACATGTACCCTATTTTGGGTTGTGAATAACTAAACAAAATAAAGTATTTAATAATTTTCCTAAAATTATCTATTTTTTTGGAGATTGGTTTGCAAAAAAAAATTTAAAATCAATGGTTTGCAACAACAAAAAATTGGTGCCATGGGCCAGCGACAGCTAGGTCAGGTTCGACCACAAATAGGGCCCTACCAGGCCGCGCCGGCCCAATTAGCCCGGTATATAGCTGACTCCCCGGTCGAGCCCGAGCCCGAGCCCGAGCGCGCGGCCCAAGGCCCACTATGCCCTCGCGCCCAGTTGCGCCGCTCGGCTGCCAAACACGGGGGTAACTGGAAACTAGGTTTGAAGCCACGATCTCCGCGCGTAATTATAGGATCGTAGCCGCCACGTTCCCGGCGTAGTTGCTCTTTCTCTACATCCTTCATTTCTGTCTCGATTTCTTCGGCGAACAACGACAACATCACCTGGAATCGGCACTGGCACCATGGACATGGCAGGAGATGCAGAGCAGTCCCCACGTACTCCATTCAACATGGGTACAGGTGAATGATACATCCCTCCTTCAGTTTTATTAGCACAGGGTTTTTGTACGGGGAATTATTTTGCGTCTTTAGGTGTGCATCTTGGCATTCTTTTGCGTCATGAGGTGTGGATCTTGGCATTCTTTTGTACGGGTATGCGTTGATGGTGAGGTACGACCCGGTCCACTCCAGGAACTCGATCATGGGCTTCATCACCGATTGCGCGATGTCGTCCCGGAACCTGCCCGCGGATGGCGGCCAGGACTCGTTGAGTGCGGTGAACGCGATCGGCGTCGACACCTTCATGGCTGTGTCTAGGCCAAGCTTCACCAGCGCGTCGTGCACATTGGCCATGGCCGGGACGAGCTGCCCGCCAGTTCTTGGCCTCCCCGAACACCTCGTTCCCCACGGCCACGCCCGTGGATCCGCGTCATGAGGAGAGCACGCCGCCACGCTTTCTCTGCACCCACCGTGGCGTGGTCGACGGGTCCGCGGCCGTAGCTACGTCATGCGGGGTAGTACGCCGCCACGCTTCTTGCACCACCGGCCCGTGTCGGCAGGTCATTCCCCAACCGGCCGTAGCTCACGCCCACCATGCCGACATCTACATTGTACATGTGAAAAACAAGTTAGCATAGCACTAGATTGGACCTGGAAAAATAAACAACGATGCGAAATTTGAACGCGGTTACCTGCAGGGGATATACTTTCTTCTTCTCTTAATAGGACGGGTCAACATGTTGCTTTTGGGAAATAACATTAGGAACATCACCATGAGTCCTGCTCTAGGAACGCACACCTCCGAAGAACATCTCCAATTATTTTAGTCTTCTTTTGTGGCCTTCCTCCTCTAGTACCGCAAGTTCTAATACGTTATTAAGCATGAAATTTTTTCAGTTTACAACATAAGCAATGGTTCATTCACATCACTTTGATAGTATATTGGTACTTGCCTCTTTGCCTTTCTCCATCATGCTTCTCTCAATAATCGATACAAAATTAAAAAATGCCTCGCATCAAGACAAAATTGTAAGAGTAGCCGGTAGCCACCTTGCCTTGTCTTAGTTTCAAATCTTATGAGAGGTCGAATGAAGCTTATACTAAAAGATTTCTTATGCACAAAATCGATGCAGATGGCAATCATAGAAGGAGTACTACTACAGGAAGCGAGATCGACCCAAAGAACAAGGTAATCTCGGATCCAGTTTTAGTTCTTGTGTATGTTGCCTATTCATTTTTACCAACTTATCATCACCAACCGGATGTCTTTGCGGAAAGTTGATATGCATGTAACACACTCGCCTCTTAGACTATTTAACGTCATAGCAGCCTTAAAAGGCATCGCAACCACACATTGACGCTATTGAGGCTATATGGGATTTGGGGTCTGATTCAAATGCCAAATATTAGTCTCGTGAAAGGCATGATACTGAGGACATTGCGGATACATACCAAGTCGACAATCGAGGATTCAATTTATGTGGTCAAGTAGTTACTATTCATCCGGATGATGTCCAAAATATAATGGCACTCGGATTACGGCATTGATGTAGATGAATATATAAATGAAAATATGAAGAGTAAAGATGGAAGTAGGCGAGTGAATTATTCAATAGGTATGGCAATGATAAACACAAGCTCGACCTAACATGGCGGAAAAGATGCTTGATAAAGAACGACTGCATGATGATGACTTTAAAAGAGGCTTCGTCTTGTTCACGATTGGTTGCATCCTAGCATCACCTACAGGGAACGACATCCATTGGAGCTATATAGAAGTTGTTCGAGATGTCTCAAAGATTCCGCAATTCAATTGGGGTCAATTTACTCTAAACCACTTGTTGAACTCATGCCTTAGTTACAAGAATAAGAAAGAAAGAACCATAAAGGGAAATTTGGTTCTGCTACAGGTCAGTTCTATATGGTACGATCAAAACCTATAAACATTGTTTATTTTTGGTCTTACATATTTTCTTCATTTTGTTTATAGTGTTGGTACTGGGAGCGCGTCAGAGTGCCCAGCCATTATCAGATCGACTACACCAAAAGGACATACCAACCACCTCTGATGGTGTTTTGGGATAAACAGAATGCCGAACGTCGAACGACTGCTTATAATAATGATGGGATATATGGAGGAACTGTAAGTTTCCAAACATAGCACCATTATGGGGCTGTTCTTACACGTACAATTAATCTAACTATCTAGATTGTTTGCAGCTTCATGTGCCCCTTGTTTCGCACACCACCCAACAAAAAAAAGAAGCAACAGAAGCGCCAATGTCACAAGCGCGACAAGCAAAATGTGCACACGACGGTCAAAGCAACCAAGAAGTAAGTATGACATCTTTTTAAGAGTTGTACATCACTTGTGTGCTTATTCATTTTTTCCTATTTTGGTAGGTGCAAAGCCTTCCACATTGGAAGAGAGAAACCAAAATGGAGCTTGCAATAGAGGTGGAAAGCAAATTTCTTGATATGAGCTACAAACTTGATCGGCAATTTGTGGAATGTATGAGTTTGCTAAATTTACAATCGATGAAGCCCGGAAGATAGGATCGATAAGCTCGAAGCTAAGGTAGAGGATTATCATGAACGAATGAGTACGGAGATCCGTGTAACCAGCGTGGTAGTAGTACTCATTTTAGTTACTCCCATGCTTCAATCTCTAACAATGTCTCGGCGGTGAAATCTGAAAGCTAGTGCAGATTCTAATTGAGCAAACTACTTGTACAATCGCACATGTTCACCACATATGCCTTCATCTGCACAAGTTCACCCACACATGCCTACGTCTGCACATTTTCAGGTATTGCATCTTCACAAAGTTCAGTTATCACTAGTTCCTGTCTGATGCTAGAATTGATACTTTCGAATCTAACAAAACAACACCAATTGCGTGAACCGCCCGCTCAAACGTTTCCACCAAAGCGCGGGATAGAATAAATGTTTGAACCACCCACCGCAAGGAATGATACAATGGAAAATACCATGGAGCACAAGGCTACCCCCCTACAACGCATATCAAACCAAGAGAGCCAATTATCAACCAAGATTACGCTACCGCTCCAATTGACTTAGAAGCTGCCTTGTTCGTAATACAAAGTTACGAGGACTCTCGGGTTGTAGACATAGATGGCATTATTCTTACAGCAGGACAACTTCGCCGAAATGTCTCAGAGGAATTTATAACAGACGAGGTAATATTGTTTCAGATCCATGTCGTCAGTGTAAACATGTGCACACCTACTATGTACTAACTCAACCCTTTGCAGGTCATAAATGCCTATGTCCATTTGAGCAATGTTGAGACCGATTCAAATCATTTATAACAACGCTCGAGGTCCAAAGGTTGGTAGACTCAAATTGGAAGCAAGGCGATACTTTCAAGAAGGAAATTTCTGAGAAATGTAAAGGAAGGCATTTGGTACGTTATATTGATTTTGTTTTGTCACATTTTCTGGGTTGCTATCTCGTGATTTACTATGAATTTTGGAAACGTCACCTGTTTGGATTCAATTCATGCATTCAATAGTTTGTCAATACTTAACTTTCCAGGTATTCGTGCCAATGCATATTAACAGCAACCATTGGGGTCTCTTGGTGCTAAACTTTATAAAGAAAGAGGTACAGATCCTTGAATCTCTAGGAACACGAGACGAAGACCTAGAGAAGGTATTGGTAAGTATAGATCCTTTGCGCATCATGTACCAACTATTGTGTGTACATCTCTAAAAACATGTTCCCTATAGGTGAAAGCCATACAGTCTTGCATCGACTTTTCTGTCAACAATGACTTGGTTAAATTTGAAAAACCATTTAACTTGCGCGACTGGGAAATAGTTCCCTATGTGGAAGGCATACCGAGACAAGAAAACAGGTACTCTTTTTCCTTTTGTATATTAATGTTGTAATTCAGTTACTAATGTTTATGCTACGTTGCAGTTTTTCATGTGCTGCGTTTGTAATACAATATATTCTGGCATGGGATGGAGAAAAAATGGCTCATGATTTCACAAGTGTGAGTCTTAGAATTATTGTGAATTCCAAATTTGTACGGAATGAAATGAAAACTGCTATGTGACGACATGCACTACATTTCTCTTGTACAGGAGGCAATGGAGAGTTTTTGCTACAAGATATGCACGAGGCTGCTACATTCTGATCGCAATAAAAATCGCTTGGAATCATACAAAAAACCTATCACGGTATATGCTTTTATTGCATTTTGAAATCTTTCGGTTGAGACAGCTTTGTTTGATCGCACAAAATAATCGGGTTTAACATTTTCTGCTGATGATACTTAGAAGGAAGCGTGCTTGGCGGCAAATCCGGATGAACGAGAGGGAATGGATAGGATGACGATGCGATTTATGTTCATATAATACCGCCACCAACGGAACTCCAACCACCGCTGCAAGGCTAGCAACAAAGGAACTCCAAAGCATCCTCTACGCCGCCAAAGATGAAAGAAAGCAATGCAAGGAAAGAAGGGGAAGCATATACGATGTCGGGATCGGTAATAACGAAAAGAGGACGAGGACGACCACGAAAGATTCGGATGAAGAAAATTCAGCAATGAGGATCTGCAAAAGTTACACGAGAGCTGCAACTAGGAAAGGAGGACGACCCCAAAGAGAAATGTTGACACTTGCTCCTCGTCATCATGCGTCGTCGATGATTTCCTTATCGAATCTATCACTAAGCGAATTAAACGGAATACGCATCCAGAAAATATCTAACCAGCCCATATAAGCCTAGTTAGAACTATGTGCCGTCTATTTTGTAATCTGTAATAAGGTGACAGCTTGGAGAAATGCAAACCGGTGGATAAACATGGCCAAACACTCATGGTCGATGAAGTTAGCCTGCTTTATTTTTCTCCAATGTTTCACCTTCGATACTGTGCTTGATGTCCTGCCTATGTGGACTACAAATTGTAGTGTACCTACAACATATGAGCGGATTGGATATAGAAGGGAGCTTCATGTTTGCATCATGGCATGTGACATTTGATTTGTGGATTATTAGAGGAATCAAACCACATGTCTTATCAAGACATACACAAACAGATTACTACTAACTACTTCAAAAATCAGGCACAATACCAAACAGCTTACTACTAACTACTTCCAAAATCAAGACATACACAACCAAACAGTTTTACCCATGAAAATATCAAGAACTCACCAATGCCCTTGATGTCAAGAGCTCCAGACGCCACCTCCGGCTCAGGGAAGATCTCGCGGTGGCACAGCTCCCCACGACCACCGTCGGATTCGCCGAGCTCGTCGACTCGAGCTTGATTCGCCCGCCCGGGTCCCGTTGATTCGCCCAAAGATGAGCTCGGATTGGAGGTGGTGCTTGATTCCCGCTGGTTGGAGGCGGAGGCACGAGGGTATGTGGGTTTCTCTGGTGTGATCTGAGGGCCTGCGTGGGCGTCAGTTCATCATTGGGGAGGCGGCGCGCGCACACTGCACTGTGGAAGGGGACGAGCCCCACGGGCGAAGGCGAGGAGCAATGCATGGCGGCGGCAAAGATAGCAGGAGGAGGGGACGGCAGAGGGCCTCCGCGATGGCGTAGCTCGAGCCCAGCAGCCCGATGGGCATGGGATCTGGGAAGTGCATCTAAGGGGGTGCGGTGGATGCGGGGAGGGAGAAGCTCGGTCGCGCCGGCGATGGCGGATCAAACGAGGGCGTCTAGCTCGGTCAACTGAGGAACGGGAGTTCGGACAAGGTAATGACCACCCGGCCCCACGTGGCAGTGGAAAGAAGAGAGGGAGGGCTGCGGTTGGTTTGCTGGGCCGGGTAGTGGGTTGTGGCCCAGAACGAAAATAGAGGGGAGTGTGAGAGCAGTGGAGAAGGAAGTCAGCTACATGCCTGGTTTAGTCCCACCTCGCTTGCATATCAATCAAAAGCACAACTTAAAAGCGCAGTAAACTAGCCATTTCGAACTCCTGTACTACACCGCCTATGCTCTTGAACATTTGTTACTGTGCTAATTGGGCGGCGGCGGCTGGTTGGGCTCCCTTGGAGGTCGAGCCTGGCCTAGCCGTTGCTGGCCCTTAGCACCAATTTTTTTCAAACCATCCATTTTGCAATTGAAGTCCCTCTTGAAAACCTTTTTTCAAACCATTTATTTTGTAATTGATTTTTTTTATCTTCCAGTACTGATTTGTAATATAAAGCCGGACCTTAAAATAAAAAAACTCGGATTCACACATAAAAAACACGTGGATAGAGTGATCGGTTCAACCTATAAGTGCACTCGGATGACACATAAGAGTGATCGGTTCACTTCCTATCATGTTAGTCCACTCGGACGACACGTGATAGTGACGGATTAATTTGTATCATGTTAAGGCTAGTGGTTCACTCTGTCGAGACATGAGAGTGATTGATTCACTTCCATTCACTTTAGGCCTTTTACTCCACTCAGTCAGTACGTGCAAACTAACTTTTCATCGCAACCCTACGTTAGGCCTTTTATGAATTTACTAAAGTATTCCAATATTTAGTTAGATGTTTAGTATTTGAAAATGAGCAAAATGGGAACTTTAGATAAATTTAAAAAATTTAAATTGAGGGATGTTGCATTCATGCCTTTGCATAAATTTGTATTGTTGTCAAAATTGAATTTATAAAATTCTACGTAAGTTCGAATCAAAATTTTGATCTATTTATAAAAATAATTAGATTTTGTTAAATTTTATTTCAAAATCAAGTTCAAAGTTGTATTTCAAAATCAATTTTATTGGGAGACGCGGGCCCATCAGCAATAACAGGCGACGTGGCCTAGCACCTCATGCCCAGCGCCTCACTGGCACGATCTGCGGGGCCCGCGTGTCGGCGGATCCACGACAAAGATGTCGCCTCCTTCCCCAGAGACGGACACAGAGCGGCAACTTCTCCCCAACTCCCGGCGATATGCCTCTGGGCCAAAGCCCACTACCCCTCCCCTCCTTCGAACGTGCCCCGCCGCGCCGCATCAACCGGGCGTAGCCACCGTCGCCCGATCCCCTCGAACGTGCCCCCCGAGGTTCCCCGCTCCCGCCCCTTATAAAGAGTAGGCTCACAGCTCCGCGCCGCCACTTTTCATCCCTAAAGGGACCTCCAGGAGACCTAGCCCTAGCCCGCGCGCCGCCATAGCCGCTGCCAGGAGGTCGACCCGCCGCCGCCGCCGCTAATCTCCGCCTTTACCGTGTCACCGGCCACGAGAACCCTTCCACGACCTTCATTGCGAGGTGAACAATCTGTTGATTGACATTCTTTCAATTTCATGTAATGGGATTGTCTAGAACATTGTGTTTGTTTGATCTCAACTGACAACTTCAATTTTCTTTAGACCTTGCAATCCAATCCGTATAGTACAGGCATTAAGCATTCAAGCATCATTTGTCCTTTGATGTGGTTTTTTGCTTAACAAATACTGGTACCTTTTTTGCTTCCTAATGTCTGTTGAACAATCCATGAAATGTTTTGTTGAAATTTCCAGAAACATTTGATTTTGTTCAAATTTCAAACAAGCTACTAATGGGCAAACATGTTACACATCTCGTGAATTAATTTGGTAATTAAACTATTATTAGTTCATCATATATATTTTTGTTGCCCACTACCTTGTTCCGTAAAAACCTTAGGCAATCTTGCCACAACAGTTTTCAGTCAGCTCATCTCCTTCAGTTCAGTCTTAGTGATAATGTTGCTTGCTAATTGATGATCCCTATATGGTAGAGACACTTATGAACAGCTACTTTTAGCTGTATATGCTACACTTGCAATTGATCTATTAATCAACATGTCACCGTTTCTACTTCTCGTGACATGCAGAAAAGCGAAAAGATAAACTTTGGGAATTAAATCATATATGTTGTGCTTTCATGTTTCAAGTTTGCACCGAATACAATACTTGATAAATATCTTCAATGATCTGTGGCTATAGCCAAAATCTGTTAGAAGTAGCAGTTGCGGGGAAAAAAATAGTTGGACTATAAGGAGAAAGTCATTGAAAGGATATGGTGGTGACAAAGCTAAGTTGTCCGCAAAGACAAAGATGAGAGTTAAACGGAATGTACACATGCTTTTGATTGCCAACATTCTTTTTCTCATTGTCGTTGATCGCTTGTAGAGTTAACATAAAGAACTTCACTTGTACCGTAGTATGTAGTGTGTCAAGGAAGGGCGATATAGTCCAACTAGACTACTGCCTCCTTTACTACCTCTCATATATGGGATAATTTTATGAATTGCATTATTGAGTGCTGTGTTTTTCATGTGAAAATGATTTGATTGATCTGGTTGCTCGAACTTCATCGCATTGTAAATGTGCAAGTGCAAAGATTGCTTGGATATCTGAAATCGTAAGATTCTAATTATATTTTATTCCCCAACTTACGGCATTTTGACCGGGTGTTACTTTATAAATTCAGAGGTGTCATGGAACAAGTTCGGAGGTCCTCGCAAGAGTTCGAGGAGAAGGCTACCGAACTTAAGAAGGTCCACAACAATGAGTATTTGAAGATCAAGCTTGACTGCACCAAAGTGACATCAAGAAGATGAAACAAAGAACATCAAACCGACACGGACATATCATTTGATCGTGACCACCGGACAAAGCGGAAGAGGAAGAGCTTGCTGCCTTTACCAAAAGAATTGAAAAAGAACAAAGTTGCCCAAATTGAGAAAGCGCTAAATGATCAGCGTGATCTCTTTGCCCACATGATATCAAAAGAACGTGCTATTGCGTATGAAGTCTTACAAAAGACCCATCAAGAATATGATGAGAACATGAAGACACAACAACAAACAATTGATTCCTTGAGTAATCGTGCAAGGTCACAATTGGAAGGGTTGCGAATGACCGCTCAAAGTTGAAGGGTCTCGACCGACAACTTGAATGTCGAGGTAACCACGGTATTTCTTTTAATTTAAAATTTTTACTATATAGACGGTGATCTTAAACCCTCTATTGTTAGGACTTTAAGGTACCCGATGATATGATTTGTATGCCACGTTGGTACTTCGACATGGCAAAGGACAACCACTCAGCACCTCCAGATATATAATTTTCGTACATTTTTTGTGTAAGAACTTGTTGTGCTCAAATGATTCTTATTCGTGTAATCCCTACATGCAGTATTTGGCTATGAGATTTAAGGTTTTCAAATTGGAGGAGCTTTATTCTGATCTAGAGAAGTACGACATTCGAAAGCAGATTTGAGAGGCTTTGCAAT